ATCTCTCTCTCTCTCTCTCTCTCTCTCTCTCTCTCTCTCTGTCTCTCTCTCTCTCTCTCTCACACACACTATCTCTCTCTTTCCATGAAGCTCACCAAATTGTCCGTGCGTTTGAATTTTTCCACATGCTTTTTGACATTTTTTCAGTATAAATACCCAAACCCTTGTCTTCCACATGCTCAGTTCTTCAAGCTCTCATCATCATCATCATCATCATCATCATCATCATCATCATCATCATCTCTTCTCTTATAGCCAAACAGATTCAGAGAGAGAGAGAGAGAGAGAGATGGGGAGAGCTCCGTGCTGTGAGAAGATGGGGTTGAAGAGAGGGCCATGGACTCCTGAAGAAGATCAAGTCTTGATCTCTTTCATCCTCCACCATGGCCATAGTAACTGGAGAGCGCTCCCTAAGCAAGCTGGTGAATAATCTCTTTCTTTAAATCATCAATAAAACATATACATATACATATATATGGTATTATTTTTCTCTAATTCTGCCCCTGATGATATATTTAGGTCTGTTGAGATGTGGAAAGAGTTGCAGACTTCGATGGATGAACTACCTCCGACCAGATATCAAGCGAGGAAATTTCACCCAAGAAGAAGAGGACACCATCATCAACTTGCATCAAATGCTTGGCAACAGGTATATACACACACACACACACACACTGCTTTGTATATAGGTCGGTCCACGAATCCATAATTAAGAAAGTGAACAATAATCTTTTATAGGTGGATGCTTGTATTGACATTATGTGAAGTTTTCTCTTATACCAGTTTGTTATTTTGTGGTTACAGATGGTCTGCAATTGCGGCAAAATTGCCCGGAAGAACAGATAACGAGATCAAGAACGTGTGGCACACTCACTTGAAGAAGAGACTCAAAGATTACCAGCCCACGAAACCGAGATCCGAAAACAGAAAGATCTCTAAATCCAAATCCAAATCCAAATCCAAATCCGAATCTAAAAATGCGAGAATTCTTGGACCGGAACCTGCGAATTCGCCAAACCCGCCTTATTACAGCTCTTACTCGCCCTCATCTTCCACTAGTGACATTTCTTCTGTAACCCTAATGAGCGGAGAAATCGAAGACAACAAGATCAAATCTGGAGAAAGCATCAAACAAGATTGCTACTTGTTAGAGAATTTCGACATAGACATCGACCAGAATTTCTGGAACGACACACTGTACAACGACGTCCGAAATTCCGGGATTGTCGCGACGGAACCAGCATTATATCTTGAAGCCAGCGGCTTCGACGAGTTTCCGCAAGGGTTTCAGTTCGGTTCTGTCGATACCCAGACGGTTTTAGATGGATATGGTGAAGGCTATGTTCACGAAACCGACGACGGGATGGATTTCTGGTACGATCTGCTGGCTAGAACTGGCGGCGACCAAGATTTACAAGGGTTGTAACGATTCTTGCGGCACAAGTAACATCCGAATCGTGTTTATGATATGTAATTTTTGTACTAACCATTAATATCTATAAGCTTAGGTGTCGAATTAGGAAACATTTCATTGATTTGTTGTAGCATTTTCTCCAAGTTTACATTTGGATTTGTATGCTTCGATTATTAATAGATCGAATATAGATTTCTATATATACTTGTTTTATTCAAGAAAGGTGCCAGAGAGTTTCAAGATTTTTCAGAAATAACATATGAAGAAGACGGTCCGACATCAGGTTACCTGTCTTCGAGATGTTCCTTATTACGAAACCCTTTTCGTGTTTCAAGAGAGGCATGAATATGCTAAAGCCTTCTCTTCCTTGAGCTCCTCTGCCGTCAGATCCATCTTCTTCCTCGAGAACTCGTCAATCGCAAGCCCTGTTTCTCGACCCCATATTCGACTTATCAGTCGCGAGATTCGTAGTAAAACCTACTAAGAAATGTTGCCCGATCGCTACCTTGAACTATGGTCCATTCTCCGTTGCGAGAGGTCACTGGGAACGAATACATGAGTCCGGCGGGGATTTCGTACGATCCGTTTGAATAAACTCCCATCGAAACCCATGTGTTCTACAAGCGAGACTTAAAGATCAGACCGAAAAGATTCTTTTACAGAAATTGGGAGGAACTGAAAGGGATTTTGAAAGAACCTCTGGAGTCCCAAGAACCCAATTGCGAATGTGATCGCAAGCTGAACTCGCAGCCGACAACGCACTCGAGAGTTTTCTTGCTTTGATGATCGCCGCTCCTCGTTGCTGGACAGTCTTTATGAATTCTCCCTTCAACCTTGCTCAGACAAAAAATCCAAACCCAATAAGATGAAGCTTTTGGTCTTTAACAAAAAACCAGCGCAGATCGAGAAAGTCTTGTCGTACCATTCGTTGTCCTTAACAAGGTCGGATACAGGTTTTTCTCCGGAGGAGGTCTTGACGGTAGCGTGACTAACGTCAGGGTACTGAGTCGACGAGTGGTTTCCCCAGATGATCACGTTCTTGACATCTGAAACAGGACAGTTCAATCTCTCGGAGATTTGTCCCAATGCCCTGTTGTGATCTAGCCTTGTCATACATGTGATGTTCTTCTCCGAGATGGAAGGAGCAAACTCCTTCAGGATCAACGCGTTCGTGTTTGCGGGATTCGCCACAACAAGAACCTGAGATCGCATCCGAAAAACACATACCAAACATTTTCATCTGAAGAGAAAAAAAAAACCTAAGAATGAATCAAGAATCGACAAAGGACCTTGCAATTGGGAGCAGCATTGGATTCAAGAGCAGAAGCTTGGAACTTGTAGATGGAGACATTCTTTGACATCACGTCTTTCCTCTCCATCCCTTCTTTCCTCGGAAAACCTCCCACCATGACAGCGATATTGACTCCGGCACATGCCTCAGCCGCATCGGTCGTAGCCACAACGCCTAAAAAGATTCGGAAATTCAAAGGTTTATATATGTGTATGTATGTATATATGCCATGGAAGAAGAAGAAGATTTTAGATAATGAAATGTATGAACCTTTGAGGAGAGGGAAAGCGGCATCGACTAATTCCATCTTGACGCCGTTCAAAGCATCGGCGGCGGGAGGAATGTCGAGCATGTGGAGGATCACTGGTTGTTCTGGGCCCAGCATTATTCCTCTGGCGATCATTGGAAGCAGGGCATATCCGATTTGCCCTTCACATTTACCAGAGCATCGATGGAGAGATCAAAGCAATGATGCAGATTAGGGAATCCGTTTCTTAGACACGAAGAAACTGATAATCCTTATCAACCAATGGGTAAATACTAATCAAATCCGAATCATCACGAGTGAGCGTACTGAGATTACGTTATGAATCTAAACGTTTTAGATCCAGGATTCGCATTTCAAATCATTTGAAACTAAGAACTGATAAAAAGAATTTCAAATTCGCATTTGAAAACCGATCTCGATTTCAATCTGTTCTCCGAATCGCGAAATCAGGGAAAATGTACCTGCTGCTCCGGTGACGAGAACGCGAACTGGATCCTTCGCCATTGATGAGAGAGATTTGTGAACTGTAGAAAGAAGAAGAAGATGAAGACAGCCATTTATAGAGGGGAATATTACTCAAATAACCCACTTGGGTCGCAGCAATTTCAGTGTACACCACTGAAAAAAAAAAAAAATTTTGCGACCTTATTACGACTAATATATAACTAATATACAACCTATTACGACTAACAAACTACTCTTATTTTAGTTGTATATTAGTTATATATTAGTCGTAATAAGGTCGCAAAATTTTTTTTTTTTCTGGGTGGTGTACCCTGAAATTGCTGCGACCCAAGTGGGTTATTAGGGTTAAAACCCCTTTATAGAGACGATCGCAGTGCATTTTTCCCGAGATGATTGCCGAAAACGACGTCGTAGACAAAGAAGGTTTTGATCGTTTCCAAGGTGGAGGACGTTTGCTTGCGCTATAAAACTAACTTTTTTTATGTTCTGTTCCCAAAAGCGGTGCCGTTTTCGGAGCATATACAAGAGGTGTATGCTAAGTTTCGTGGGTATAACCGCACAATAGTGTTTCTCTATAGAGTTGCCGTCCGTTTAGTTTTTAAACGGAAGAGTTAACGCCGTGACTTTGCAGGAAGAACAAGGAACAGTCTGGAACTCTCTTCCCTGCGAGATAAAGAAGTTGAATTACCGGCTTCGTCTTCGTCATTACTCCGAGCATATGATCAGTTCGTTGATTGGATTTGGGTTTTCGTGTGTCTGGAGGTTCAATTTTGTGCCTATTTTCCTTTTCGAAGATGGCTACGGCTTCAGGTCTGCTTCCTTCTTCCATTTCTCTTGCGTTTTCACTTTGTTACTATGTTGGGGAAGAATCATCCATGATAAAGGTTAGATTTTTGCGACGATTTGTTATGGGTTTTGGTTAGGAAATGGAATTGATCGAGCTAGAATGTTTCTTGAGCTGGATTTTGATTTCCACTGACGTTTCGCTTGTGTTTTAAGAGTTATAATAAGACTGGATCGATTAAGGTTTTTAAGCTATTCCTTGTTTTTATTACATTTGCTGGGAGGAGATCCCCCCCCCCCCCCCCGTTCTTGATTTGTCGGAACATGGGTTTGAATCCTTTGGAAATGGACATTCTTTGAAGCACATTGTCGTTTTTTAAGCACATGATCAATGTATCTCTGTATCAAGTGCTGGATATTTGGAGGAATTATAGATTACTAACACTCTAAGTGCAATATCCACCTTTGTTATGTTCAACTAAATGTTTGTGATTTGGGATTGAAGTGGGATTTAAGCCGAGGGAGGAGCACCAGAAGCAGCAGGAGCTGGAGGAAGCACGTAAAGCCGGGCTTGCTCCAGCGGAAGTCGATGAGGAAGGAAAGGAGATCAACCCTCACATTCCCCAGTACATGTCATCTGCTCCTTGGTACCTCAATGCTGAGAAACCCGTAAGCCACTTTCGATTTCTGGTCAAAGATGGATTCTTTCTTGATGGGTTACGAATGCTGATTGATTATGTAATTCCCGTATTTTTTCAGAGCTTGAAACATCAAAGGAAATGGAAATCCGATCCGAATTATACGAAGTCGTGGTACGATAGAGGTGCCAAGACATTCCAGGCAGATAAGTTTCGGAAAGGAGCTTGTGAAAAGTAATGCTGCTTTGGAAAATTTTATACAAGATAAGAGTATTTACATGAATGGATAAATGAACTATAATGTGTTTGAGATTTGCCGAAAGACTTGTTCTATCCTTTCAATGTGTTTGAGGTTCCTATTCTGCTGTTTCAGCTGTGGGGCTATGACTCATAATGTGAAGACATGCATGGAGAGGCCGAGGAAGATAGGGGTGAAATGGACAAACAAGAACATAGCTCCTGATGAAAAGATCGAGGCTTTCGAACTTGATTACGACGGCAAAAGGGATCGATGGAATGGTTATGATACTGCTCAGTATGCATGAGTGATTGAGAGATACGAAGCTAGGGATGAAGCCAGAAGGAAATTCCTAAAAGAGCAGCAGCTGAAGAAACTGGAAGAGAAAAACAGCAAGCAGCATGATGGTGAGGGAGGTGTTAGTGAGGAAGAAGATGATGAAGAAGAAGATACACTGAAGGTTGATGAAGCCAAAGTTGATGAAAGCAAGCAAATGGACTTTGCCAAGGTTGAGAAACGTGTCCGAACTACTGGGGGTGGCAGCACAGGAACTGTCAGGTAAGAAGATGTTTTTTTTTTTGACAATTTCTTGAAAGATCTCAATATTCTCGGCCCGTGATTTGAGCTTTATCCATTCTCTCTAGGAACTTGCGTATACGAGAGGACACTGCAAAGTATCTACTGAATCTTGATGTGAATTCTGCTTATTATGATCCCAAGACCCGATCTACGTGTGAAGATCCTCTTCCCAATGCTGATCCTAACGAGAAATTCTACGGAGTAAGTGCCAGAGAAATCAACCATTGTTTTTCGTATCCTGCAACTACAATTACTGATTCATGATTTTATGTATAATAATTTCTCAGGGGGACAACCGATACAGAATGACGGGACAAGCTCTAGAATTCAAGCAGCTCAATATTCACGCGTGGGAAGTGTTCGAGAAAGGGCAGGAGATCCACGCACAGGCTGCCCCCTCTCAAGCGGAGTTGCTGTTTAGGAATTATAAAGTGATAAAGGAAAAACTGAAGAACCAGATGAAAGAAACAATAATGGAGAAGTATGGAAATGCTGCATCTGAGGAAGAAATCCCGAGGGAGCTTCTCTTGGGGCAAACAGAGAGCCTGGTTGAATATGACTGGCTGGGCGAGTTATTAAAGGAATGGTACTACGATATGGAGTGTACTTATTCTCCATACTCGGTTGAAGTTTTGATCTTTTGATAAAACTCAGTCTCCACCTCGGTAAATGTCTCAGTTCGGTATATTACCAATCATTTGCCTTAACTTCATAGCAATCTCTGCAATATCTTCGTGTATGTTTTTTCCCGTGCTGTGCATTCTTTAACATCGTTTGTCTTACGAATCATTTTCCTTTTCGAGCTTTTTTTTCTAGGAAACCTCCCTACCGAGAAGCAAATACGAGGAGGATGTGTACATAAACAACCACACAAGTGTATGGGGTTCATGGTGGAAGGATCATCAATGGGGTTACAAGTGTTGTCAGCAGACAGTAAAGAACAGTTACTGCTATGGTGCTGCCGGGATCGAAGCTGTGGAGGCAGCTTCAGATTTGATGAAAACCAATATCGAAAGAAAGGCGGGTTCCAACGGTAATAAGTGCTTCTTCCAGTGAGAGACTCT